AGGTTTTGAGCGGAACGAGTTCAGTTCGAGAGGATACATTCCCTTATGTCCACACGGAGAATAAATTCACAAGAAGACATAAGGTATATGAATCCCGAAGGTTACTTGCTATGCCCGCACAGAGAATAAATTCTCACGAAGGCCTTGCTTTCGCCCCCACTTAGAAAGGGTTCAGAGTTCGGGTATAGAACTTATGTTATGCAAATGCTCGTGATGTGTGTAAGGAGGAACATTCAGCCCTTTTGTCTCAAAAGGAAAACTAAACCACTCAACCAAAACTTGGATAAATCTGAAAGCAAAAATCAAAATGTTAAAATAACAAAAAATGAAGCAATTACAAATTTCAATAAATGAATCATAAATGAACTAAAAAACTCGAACTCATAATTTCCATCACAACGACAATATGTAAACGACTTACAACTTGACTCTCTAAAATGTCCCCAGCAGAGTCGCCAAGTTGTCATAACCATTTTATGGGTGGGCCTAGGGATGGGCATTTAAACCCGACCTGACGGGTTCCGATCCGACCCGACCCGATCGGGGCAGATTTTTTTTTTTAAAAAAAATAGGTTCGGGTTGGGTCGGGTTTTTTTATGTGGTGTTCGGGTTCGGGTTTAGGGTGAAAAAATTCGACAGACCCGGAAAAAAAATATAATTTTACCCTATATATTTAGGAATAATTACAATAATACCCCTATATATATATATTTTTCAATTAAGTCACTGTTTTTATTGAATAAAAATAATTTTTTTATTATTTCGGGTCGGGTTTCTATGTCGTATATTCGGGTCGGGTCGGGTAGGGTGAAAACTTGTTTTGGTCGGGTCGGGTCTCGGGTGGAGACTCTCTTGCTCTCGGATCGGGTCGGGTGGACCAAAAACCCGACCCAACCCGACCCATGCCCATCCCTAGGTGGGCCAGGAATTTGGCTTCGACTTGAATGAAATGTGTTAGAGTCGCCACTGATCATTTATTTTTCGTAAAAAATTTGGTTGATCAGATACAATCTTACCTGATCTTTGATTTATTAAATTATCCTTGAAGTATTTGCTTTCGATTTTAGACTTGGATTACTGAAAAATGTGTTTCGATTGCAGTATTTGATTGAAAAAAAATCCAGAGGAATCAACCCCTTTTCTTACATTTGATTCGACTTTTTATAGCCATTGTTTTTACATATCTATGATAAAATATTAAACACTTGATGTGTGGTGATGTTTGAATATAATATCTCTTGATTTATTCCTTGTGGGTGGCTTGTGAGTGGCAGGAAACAAAGATTAGTGGCAGTGGGGCAGAGCACTATCAAATGGTTCCGGGTCAGGTCGTTTGGTGGGCCTCGGGTTTGGACCCGGTTTGTTGTATTGGATCTGCTCCTGAGTTGTTGGGTTGACTCCATTTGGGTCTTAGGTGAGATTGTTGGATTGTATTGGGTTGTAAATGAGTCTTGTAAATTGGGCATGCAGAAATATATGTAACAACAATCAATAATAATAATAATAATAACATATTTTTTAAAATCCGGACAAAAACGGGTGTCTACAGAACCAAAACTGATAGTTTAGGTACTAAACACATTAAGTTTTTAACGGTTGTGTACTAAAATGAAACGAAAACTAAATGTTAGGCATGGTTTTGAAAAACATTGAAAGTTTAGGTACTAAAACAAACTAAAACTTATAATTTCAATATTAAACGCGTAGTTTACCTTATTTTTTAAATATTCTTAAATGGTAATTTTTTTTTGTAAAATTTTATAATTTAGTTTAATTTAATATTATTTATAATATTTTATTTTTCATACATATAAATTTTATTTTTCTAAAATGATAATATCACAAACATTAGATACATACCTTTAAAAATTACTTTAAAGATCTATAATAAATAAAATATATAATTTAAATAGTACATGTTTTTGGATAAATTATGTATTTATTATCTAAATTATTAATTTTAGTCTATTTTAGTATCTAAACTTTTAATTTTTTCAAAACCATCCTAAAGTTTACCTTTATTTTCATTCTAATATCCCGTCGTTAAAAACTTAACACGTTTAGTACTTAAACTATCAGTTTTGATCCGTTTTAGTACCTAAATTTTTTATTTTTCTAAAAAATTAAGTATGATTTAGGTACTAAACTTGTTTTGGTACATAGACTTTCATTTTTTTAACACTTAACGACGAGTGTATTAAAATGAAACAAAAAGTAAACTTTAGGTATGATTTTAAAAAATTGAAAGTTTAAGTACTAAAACATATCAAAACTGATAATTTAGATACTAAATACGTATTTTACCCTATTTATTTTATTAAACCTCTATTATATTATCAAGTGGCATTCTTAATCTAACAAACATTCTTAATCAATATTTTAAAAAAACAAAAATGAGAAAAGTTCACACTGGTCGAGGAATTAATAATTTCACCTTTTTATGAATGCCTGAGGGACTTTAGACCAATTGTATAACACTTTATGATATATCAATCCAATGAAAAATACAATTATTCAATCAAAATTTTAACTTGTATCTTCAGAACATTATTACTTTTTTTTTTTACATTTATGTCAAGTGGTACCAAAATTATTATTATTTTTAATTATTAAATATGGATCTAGATCCGAAACTAGATAAATATTTTTAGTTAATATTTAAAAAAATTAAAAGTAGAATATATCATAATTTTTTAAAGAATAAGAATGTAAATTATATCATCAATTATCAATTATTTTAGGTAAAATTGTTCCAATAATATATTGAAAAGATGGCCATGTAAGGTATAAACAAAATTATTTTTTTAAACAAAATGCTTGATACAATATTCATTAGAAAGTCGTTTAAACTACACGACGACTTTTGAAAGACGTCTAGATTATCCGATAAGTTTTGGAGCATCACCAATTATCTTTATTATCGTGCATATATGAAATATTAAGGAGATGTCCTGCAATCCAGATTACTTCCAGAAGTTGTGTATTCTAAACGACTTTAAAAAATCCTTGTCGAATGAGTAATGTAGCAAACACAGACATCTTATTTTAAAAAAATAAATTTTCATGCACTCAATATAACCAAAAACAAAAAGAATTCAATACATTATCTTCAAAAAATTTCGCTTAGTTTAACGGGATAAAATTGTTTATTTTTTTTAAAATAAAATGACGGATTCTAATTTTATTACAATGAAAGTAAGGGAATTCAGTCTATTAACTCGATTAATGGTTAAAATAAACAAGTCAAAGTCAAATTAATTGATTTGTAATTATTAATTAAGTTAATGTTTTTTTAATTATTAATCGAATTAAACAAAGTTTAAAAACCTCATATATCATTAATTTTTTTAGTAGTTTAGAGTGATTATAAGTAATATAGTTTATAATATTTCTTAACCATTAAAAATAACGCACACACCTTGAGTTGCTTAAACCTAAGATATGTAGGGATAACAACACTCTCTTTTATCATTAAGATATAGGGATGACAGTTTAACTTGAAATTAACAGAGTTTAACTCGAAATTAACGGATTTTGACCTGACTTGATAGAGTCGTTTTAAAAATCTGATTCGAGTTGGATTCGAGTCAAATTTTATATAACGCGAGGTCATATTGAATTAGGGTGGAGAGTGAAAACCACTGACTAAATATGGGGTAATATTATAATTATTTTTCATATAAATTTGTAGATGATTGCTACAATACCCCTCTTTCTATAGTTTTTTTAATTAGATCTTTATTTACGTCGAGTTGAGTTAGATCAGGTTTATACTTCAAAAATTTAGATCGAATCAAGTTTGGATAGAGAAAATATACTCTTCAAGTCAGATTAGATCGAGAAAATAATATATATTTTTAGATCAAATTAAATTTAAGTGAAAAGTATATATTTTTCGGGTTAAATCGAATTAATAAAAACCTGATATAAACTGACCTGTTACCATCTCTAATAAGGTTACTTAATAGGTGCATAACTGCATATACTATTAATTTTTTTTTTCTTATTATTTTTCATCCCACCCGGCGAAGCACATCTACATTGCTTAGCTGGTACACTGGTTTTAATATGTTTCATAAAGATTATAAATTTAGGTGTTAATTAACACATGAATTATTAATCAAATGTTAGATTGTTTAGTTCTACCTAGCACAGGGGGGGCATATACACTTTCCAATATAAAACTATGAGTGATGTTAATAATCAACGTTCTTATTTAATTATTTTTTTAAATATATAGTAAACATTAAAGATAAATATGTTTATGGGACTAAATTTATAGTTTTATCCTTAATTTAAGAGAGTTATATATGATTTGAACGAATATTACATTTGTAAATAGTATGTATAAATTTAGTTTGACGTGACTCGTAAATTCTACTAATTAAAGAGATATTACTTATATCAAATGAAAATAAATTAAAATATTATAATTATAAACTCTAAAAGTAAATAGGATTAATTTAAAATCAAATATTTTTTAAGAATTATATAAAATTTTAAAAAATTTGACAGTCGATTTTTCTTTTTTGCATTAAAATCGATTGCATTTTTTTTGTTGCAACATGAAATGTTGTTCTCTCTAAAAGTTTTGAATTCAATCAGCTGCTTTTGCAAAGTGTGCATGTATTACGGGACAAAGATGTATTAAGCCTAATTAAAAATTATAAAGTGCAACATATCACAAAATCTAAGGAATTTTAAAAAAGTAAAATAAATTAACAGTTTGATTATTTTGGTTATTAAATTTTTAAAAATTTTAAAATAATACTTTAATTTATGAATGATTATAAAATAATAATTAAATTTATCAAATTTCTAAGATTATTATAATATTACAGGGACTATTTCATAACAATTCAATTAATAGAATAAGTATTTTATAACTTTTAGAAATTTAATAATCAAAATGATTATTTAAATATAATTTAGTAACCTCCAAGACACTTTATCCAAATTATAAGAAATTAAAAAAAAGGTCCACTTGTAAATTCCGCCCGATTCCTATCAACGGCCATCATGACCTTTCTGTCTCATCCTCCATCTCCGCCGATGGCCGAGAAAGTGAAGCATGAGATGAAGCTGTTCGGGGACGTTAGAATTGACAATTACTACTGGCTTCGAGATGACTCCCGCAAGGACCCTAAAGTTCTCGCTTATCTTGAACAAGAAAACGCCTATACCGAGGCCATGATGTCCGGTATGTTTCTATATATCGTCTTACTCAAATATCTGTTTGTTTCTCGGAGATTTTTAGAAGCAACTTTGCTACTGTTCTGAAACTATATTGAGTTGCATTCTGTTCTTTGGTTGTTAGATTACTCTTCCATTTTGTGCAGCATTTTACTGAACTTAAGAATACTGATATAGGAACCAAAAGAGAAAAATCGAAGATGAAATTATGCCGAAATTTTTGAGGTCGAATCAAAGATATATATATATGTGTGTGTGTGTCAACTTCCTCTACTTTCTGTTTGTTTATGGAAATGTTGAAAAGATACCTTCATGCTGTATTGATCTGAAACTGTATTTAGTTGTATTTACTTCTGTGGTTGTTAAATTACTATTCCATTTTGTTTAGCATTTTATTCCATGTAAGAATACTGCTGTTGGAACATACATATACATATACATATACATATACATATACATATACATATACATATACATATACATATACATATACATATACATATACATATACATATACATATACATATACATATACATATACATACATATACATATACATATACATATACATATACATATACATATACATATACATATACATATACATATACATATACATATACATATACATATACATATACATATACATATACATATACATATACATATACATATACATATACATATACATATACATATACATATACATATACATATACATATACATATACATATAAACGTAACACGTCTATGTATGTATAACTATATGCTTCTTCAATTTTCTATTTGTTTCTCAGAAACATTGGCTATCTATCTCTATATCTGTCCGCTTTCTCACATTTCTATTTATTTATTGAAAATGTTGAAAAGCAACTCTGCTACTTTTTTTTATCTGAAATCTTTTTGAGTTGCATTCACTTCTTTTGTTGTTAATTACTCTTCCATTTTTTTAGTATTTTACTGAATGTAAGAATACTGCTGTAGGAACTAAAAAATTTGAAGATAAAATTTATGCTGAGATTAGAGGTCGAATCAAAGAGGATGATATATCTGCCCCTAGCCGAAAAGGGCCCTATTATTATTATTCAAGGACATTGGAAGGAAAGGAATATGTTCAATATTGCAGGCGTCCCGTTTGTAATTGCAATGCTCCACCTTCGGTTCATGATACCATGCCTACAGGGCCTTGCGCTCCACCTGAGCATGTAATTTTGGATGAGAATGTTAAGGCTCAAGAACATGGTTTCTACAACATTGGTGCTTTTACGGTCAATTATGACCGGTGACCAGCATTATATTGCTAATTTGGTTGAATGAGCTTACTTTCTTTTTATTAAGGTTCAGCTTGTTTATATGAGGTTCTTTACACACTTTGTTGTTCAGGTCAGTCCGAATCATAAGATGGTTGCATACGCTGAAGACACTAAAGGAGATGAAATTTATACCATATATGTGATTGATGCAGAGACTCGAGCTCAGATAGGGAAGCCGTTAGTAGGGACAACATCAGATGTTCAATGGGCTGGTAATGATGCTTTAGTTTACATTACAATGGATGAGATCCATCGGTCAGATAAGTTAGGGGTTTTACTTTCCATGACTTATAGTTTTTAACTTATTCAGTTCCTATTGAAGACAGTACTCCTTTTGTATTTTCACATGCTTCTTAATATTATAAATCAAGGTTTCTATTTGTTACCCTGTTCTTCATATTGTTTTCCTCCGGTAGTTTTCAACTTATTCATCTCTTTTGTATTCATTGTAGGGTGAACAACGACGCCTACTCATTATGACCATATAGCAGCTAGTGATTATTTTTGTTTTGTGATACATGTATAATTTAGAGTCCCAATCTGGAACACTTTCGTGTATTCTCTGATTTTAATAAACTGTTTTCGAATTTCTTCCTTTCCACTGATAACCAGAAGCGTAAAGGTTGACTATCTGATTTGTTTACATAGTTCTTCTAAATTGTCGGCTTGGGTGTTTTGAGTTTCAAACGGATGTTCTCATCTTTACATGATGCAGCGAAAAATTACAGATTGTTATAAGTAACATCCCTGTATCATTGCACATTTTTCCCCTTTGTAAACCTTTATTTTTCTTTTCTGGGCGTTCATGTAAAAATATAATATCACGAGATCTTTCCAGTTTCCCTTTAGGTTCTAGAAAAAAAAATCAAATTCATGATTTTTTTGTTATTTGTGCTTAGATAGGATTATGTCCCTTCTTCAGTTTCAGGTAGAGTTATATTGTTGTTACCTTTTGCTTCTTATTATGCTTTGTTGGCAAGCAAAGGGTAAATTCATTTTAGTCTAAATATGAATCCTATCCTTTTTCCATTTTCTGAAGTAGAGCTACGTTAACCTCCTTTTGCTTTTATTTCTGATGATAGGCATGGTTACATAAGCTGGGGTCGGACCAATGCAATGACTCGATGCTTTACCACGAGAAGGATGATATGTTTTCCCTTGGTCTTCAAGCTTCCGAGAGTGAGAATTTTTTGTTTATTTCATCTGGAAGCGCAGTGACAAGTTTTGTCTTTTATCTTGAGGTTTGCAAGCTGGACGAAGGCCTCAAGGTTTTGACACCTCGTATACAAGGCATTGATACCTCTTTTTTCAGTTTTAGGTATACCATTATTTAGATTTAGTAATATACTTTTGTGGGTTCTTTTTGTAGATTGGTGGTGGTCGGGGGGGGGGGGTTGAATTATGATGCTCTTTCGAAAACATTAAGTTCAACATAAAACGAGTTCTTTTTTTGGCGTCATTGCAACTATCTAGTTTCTTTTTGAAATGATATTTTACAATTTGCAAACTTGAAAAAAAAAACAAACTTGTCTTTATATTTTGAAAACTGCAGCATTAGAAGTGGAAATCATTTTTTAACTCATAATCACTTGCAATACATTTTTGCTTAATTATTTATTTCTCTGTTTTAGGTTATTGTCAGTTCTATGACGATTGCTTTGCAAGAAATTATGAGTTAATCATTTAATGATTCAAATGATGTTTGTGCAAGGAGTTAGTGCTTTAACAGTGATTAATCATAGCCTATGAAGGAACAAGTTTAAATTTGTCTGGAAGTTCTCTGTTTGTTTGGGTGTCAGATTGTATTATGTTTTTGTTGCATTTTGCAATTGTGAATGATGCTATTTCTGCGAAGTGGAAATGTTGATATTTTACTTCCATGTGGATGTATGCTTTGTCTAATCGGTGATCATTTACTTTACCGACTATTTTGCAGACTTTTATTTCAACTGTGCATCCTTTTTTTCTGGATGGCGGTGGAAGTTTGTATTTGCCTTGTTGTATCTTAGCTTTGGTTGTTCCCTATCTGAAAAAGTTTGCCTTTCTGTGCTTCATTTCTTACAATTTTATTTTTTCTTCTCCAGTGTAAAGATTCAGGATATTAAACTCTTTCGTGATCATCTTGTTGTTTATGAGCGTGAGCAAGCCTTGCCCAAAATTACTGTTTACATCTTCCGGCAGTTGAAGAGCCACTCACATGCCTTCAAGGGGTCAGGAAGTTCAATTTATTGACCCTGTATACTCAGTTGAGCCATCAGAATCACAATTTTCCTCCACCATTTTGCGGTTTTCTTATAGCTCATTGAGGACGCCTCCATCTGTCTACGAATATGACATGAATACTGAGGAGTCTGTTTTGAAGAAGACTGAAACTGTAAGCACTACTGTGTGTTAACATTTGAATCATGATATGAAATGAGTTGATAAAGTGTAGTGCAAAATAAAGAACATAAAATAGTAAAAGTAGTGTTATGTGCAATATGTTACTTGACATGATTTGATAATATCCTTCCCCTTTTTCCCGAAGATTTAACTAAAGAAACACTTTAGTTCTTAGGACTTGATCTGTTTTTAAATTGTTATTGATCAGATTTTGTTAAATAACTTAGTCTCCCTCCAGAAACCATGGTTCTTTTTCCACTGGTCAGGAATAAAAATACAAAGTTTATGAAACTGTATTTCATTTTACTTTTGGGTCCTGTGAATGCATATCATATTGATTTTGTACCTTGTCTCTTATTCAGGTCCTGGTAGGTTTTGATGCATCTAATTATGTCACTGAAAGGAAATGGGCTATGGCTTCAGATGGCACTCAAATTACCATATCAATTGTGTACCACAAGAATCTTGTCAAGCTTGATGGATCTGATCCAATGTTGCTTTATGGTTATGGTTCATATGAGGTAAACAGTTAATTACAATGCATTCGATGGGATAAATTCTTGTGAGATGTGCTAATTGCCAATTTGAGTTATCATTCTTCTATTTTATCACAGTTTTGGTTAGCTTAGACCATACTGAACTAAAGAGGAAGTTTACCTTAATGTGATGAGTAGAAAGGCAATTTCTGTGCTTGTCTAGCGTTCCTTGATTTGAACACTATGACTTTTGGCAAAGTGTTGCACCTATGACTTCCTCATGTTCATGATTATCTACTGCATCAATTTGTTCTATCCTTCTAGTTGAATGTGCAACGAGTATCGGTGTGTAATTATTAATTTCATTAATGTAACATACTGTTCCTTTCCTGTTAGCAGATATCTGTAGATCCCGACTTTGACAAAGCAAGGCTGTCTTTATTAGATCATGGGTTCGTTTTCGCAATAGCTCATGTTCGTGGAGGTGGTGAAATGGGGAGGCAATGGTATGATAATGGAAAGTTCTTAAAGAAAAAGAACACTTTCACAGATTTTATCACTTGTGCCGAGTTTTTGATCGAACAAAATTATTGTTCAAAGAAAAAATTGTGCATTGAGGGAAGGAGTGCAGGTGGAATGCTTATGGGTGCCGTTCTTAACATGAGACCTGATTTGTGGAAGGCTGTTGTTGCTGGAGTGCCTTTCGTAGATGTCGTGACTACAATGCTTGACCCTACCATCCCTCTTACAACTTCAGAGTGGGAGGTATTATCTTTCTCCTCCCAGATTTTATTTTCATTCTTTTGCTTGACCATCGAAACAATCCGGTACATGCCGCTACCGATGCATCGGTATTGAATTGCCTTCTCTTCTTGGAAAACAGAGTGCTGTAATTTGATTTTTGTAAATGGTTTTCGTTTTCGTGTTCTGTATCGTGTCAAATACTGATCTGCATTACATAGAAACAAAAACTCTATTAGTAATAACAGTCGGTGCCTAACAATCCTATTGCCTAACAACAAAATGGTTTTCTTGTTTTCAGTTTTTGTAAGATCCACCATGAACATCAATTGTTTTTCTTGAATATCAGATAAACCTTATTTGTCTAAAACTAAATCGTTTATTCCAACAAGTAAAAAACTAACCATGCTATCCTTCTCTCTTTTTTCGTTTCAACAGGAATGGGGTGACCCTCGGAAGGAAGAGTTTTACCACTATATGAAGTCGTATTCTCCCGTCGATAATGTACGACTCTGATACTGCTGCTTCTCCAGGCATTTGTGGCTAGTGTTCGACTAGAATTACTCGGTTATGTTTAGGCTCTAACATATTTATGTTCCGCAGGTGAAGGCTCAAAATTATCCTCATATTCTTGTTACGGCTGGCTTACACGGTAAGTAAAAAGATCAAACACATGATTTTGAAGTTCCCTTTGTCTTGTATAACTCGTAGTTAGCTAGCTGATAATTCTGCATATTAAATGTCTGCCATTGTCAATATCCTCCAAATGCCGCTACTGATCTTTTAGTATACTGCGGCAGATCCAAGAGTTATGTACTCGGAACCTGCAAAGTTTGTGGCTAAACTGAGGGATGTAAAAACAGACGATAACATGCTGTTGTTCAAGTGTGAACTCGGCGCCGGCCATTTTTCAAAGTCAGGAAGGTAGTTTCTCTTTCCTAGTTCTGCGAAACTGAACCATGAATTGTTCGGTATTAACCGATACGAAAATGTTCATGAAACCGGTGCTTTCTTTTTCATAATGCAAACTAAAAATTTATTGAATGCCAGATTCGAGAGGCTTCAAGAAGATGCCATGACGTTTGCTTTTCTACTGAAAGCACTTAACATGATTCCCACCTGCGGATAAGGCCGACATGCCTGTAATGTCGATAACGTCATCTATGCTCGGGTTGGAAGATCTCTCCAGGTCGTCATCGTCGTCGTCATTGTTGTTGTAGTTTCGGGTTGAAAGACATTTCTGCAATGCAGGCTTGCATAAGTGCTGATTGCCTTGGTTCTAATTTATTTGAGAATAAACGTCCTATTGTTTGCTTGGAATCCTAGTTTTCATAGTCCATTGTTTTTAAGCCTTGTCGGGCAAATGTTATCTCAAGGAAAAGGTTTGTATCTCTTATTGGTAAACATTACCTGTACATTTGTCTGAATCTAAATCTTTGGTCACATTATGGTTCCATCTCTATATTATACTCAACTTGCTGATTTAGTCCTTGTATTATACTCAACTTAGGGATTTAGTCCGTATACTTCAATTCTATATTTTAACTAGAGTATCTAAACCCGTTGGTCAAACTATAGTTTCAGGTCCCTATATTATACTCAACTTAGGGAATTAGTGTTTATAATGATTGATTCTAAAATTCAAACAATAATGTTATTATTTTCTGAGTTGATTGCAATATATGTCTTTTAAACTATGACTCCCATTTTAAAATGTTCTATAAACTTTTGAAATTCTTATTTCATCTTCAAACTATGACTCTCTTTTTAAATTGGTCCCTAAACTTTTGAAGATTTTAAGTTCTTCCCCAAAACTATGACCCTTTTTTGTATTGATCCTTAAATATTTAAATGTTCTAATTTTATCCCCAAACTTTTGAATGATTTAAGGGGATCTTATTGGAATGTTTAAAATGTTGGGATCAATTTAAAATGTGTCATAGTTTGAGGATGAAATTAAAATGATCAAACAAATTAAAGACTGATTTAAAATAAATGATTATAATCTGATAATGTATGAAACAATTAACTCTTATTTTCCTGATTTTTATTTCGAGTTTCCATATAATAATTTTAAACGGGACTTTTTTTTTTTACATTTTTTAAGAACAATTCCTACCTAAGGAGAGAGAAAGATGAGCTTTATTCCTAATTAGTATTGTACTTACAAACCTAAGAAAAAAAAAGAGATGTCAATTGAGAATTTTTAATCATTTATTTTAGAGATTATTAACAATTTTTTTATATGTTAAAAATCGTGTTTGTCATAAATTATATATATAATCAGTTTTAAAAACTGTGCGAACCGCAATGCTAAAAAGAAAAACAAATAATAAATCAATCATTAGAAATTAAATTATGTTTGCCCCACAACCACATGGTGATGGGAACCCTAGTCTTCATAGGATCAGTCCCCATTATGGCCATTTACTCATTACAGATTACATTGCTAAGATAAGAAGCATATGGGGGCACCACCTTCTTCATATTTTTAAAATAACACGAAAAATAATTAAAATATAACATATACTTTAATAAAATTGTAATAATGAAAACATAACAAGAATATAGATATACACGAATAAAAGATTTTAATGGCTAATTATTATTCTTAGAGAATTTGAATTTGACCCTAATATTTACAACGACTTTTAAACGTTTATTATAAAAAAATAATTAACAAATTAATGGTTAGAGGCACCCTCTTTATGAGTTTGGTAATACTTCCAAATCTTTATGGCTTATACAGTTGAAAGGATGTCTAAAATTAGGTTATATATATAAAATTTAACAATAAATATATCGAAATAAAGATGACTCTCCCACCTGATTTTGGTCGATGAGTCTCTTAGTAGAGATTTTCTGCATACACAAAGACTTAAATTCGAAACCTTGCTTAAACGATATCAAGTTACTTACCACTTGAACCAATCTTGTTGGTTATTTTGTTCAAGATTTTTAGATGAGTTTTGAATTATTTTTTTCTTGTATAATCATTATACGAATTAAAGTGATTAATTTCTTGTGTCAATGATTATAAAAATATTCTAATTATACTTTTAATTTATGATTATAAATCTTTATTGTAATTTTAAATATTTTTAGTAAAATTATTTACTTCTATTTGTATAAAAAAAACTTCGGTCAACAATGTCGATCATACAAGTGAGGTCCTTTTATATATATCCATGGCGCAATCAACGCAATTAGACCTAATTCATTCAATCTATTGCGTTGTGAAACTGAGAAAATGATTTATTTATTTCTTAGAAAAAGCAAAAGACTCGTAATATAATTTGTCAACCTTTTGTAGCAAAAAGAAACCAATACAGTTCATCTTCCACTTAACTGAATTTTGATTGTGTGCAATTGCCGATGAACGAATGATTTTAGGTTAAAAATGAACTTCTAAGACTTTTTAAAAAATAACGAATTTAAAAAGTTTAAGAGATATAAATAGATTTTTAATAAAAAATATAAAAAAAATTAAAATATATAATAATTTTAAAATTTTAAAGAAGGACTACTAATGTCCGCCTCTCAGTCCATCGTTGCACGTGTCTGCGTTAAAGTTGTGTGTTAGTTCATATTGCCTGAAATTTTCACAATATTTTTATCTTATACATATTAAATTTGGAATAACGAAACAAGAGTTTGAATAGAAAAAAGAAGGTTAAATTGGATAAAAAGATAAGTCGAATGAAGTGTAAAAAATATCAGTTAAAACCTGATGTTATTTTCACCATTCAAAGCTTTCTTTTTTCACGAGTGTTAGATCCAACATCACTGGAAAATTTCTATAAAATTTCCCAACATTCTCTCTGATCTGATCAACGCCCATTCTCCAAAATGCAGATTCTGAAATGGGTTTTAAAGGTTCTTGTCGTTTGTTCAATGCTTGAAGTGTTTCCATTGGCATTAGCTGCAGGTTGTTCAGAGGTTGATAGGGCTGCACTTCTTGGTTTCAAAGCCAAAATCTTGAAGGACAGTACGGATAATTTGTCTTCATGGATTGGGAGAGATTGTTGTGGAGGTGATTGGAAAGGTGTTGAGTGTAATCCAGCAGGGAGAGTAAATACATTGGCATTGCAAAGACCAGTGAGGGACAGTACCCTTTACATGAAGGGCACTTCGTCTTCTTCCCTGGGGGGATCTCCTGTTCTTGGAAGTGTTGGTCATCAGTGGGATGAAGCTTATCACAGGTCCAATCCCTGAGAATTTGTCCAACCTGAGTCGGCTCAAGCAATTGGTCTTGGAAGACGATGGTCTCCAAGGGAACATCCCTTCAGGTTTAAGTCATTTTACCCTTTCTCCAAACACTCTCATTGGCTGGTAACCATTTGAGTGGGGCAGTCCCTTCAAGTTTACGGAATTTGAGAAACCTTGTCCAGATGAACTTAGGGAGAAACTTTTTGACATATCTAATCCCTTCTAGTTTCAAAACTCTTGTTCATTTGCGGTCTTTTGATCTCAGCTTCAACTTGTTGTCTGGTTCTATCCCTGAAATTTTAAGACTGTTTCATAACACAACCTTCACTGACCTCTCCAATAATCTATTATCAGGGAACCTACCTGTCTCAATGTTTAATTTGGTCACACTGTCAGACCTGTCATTGAGCCACAACCAGCTCACAGGCAGTATCCCAGACCAGGTTGGCAACCTTAAATCTCTCAATAGTCTTTCACTGAGTCACAATAAGTTAATAGATCCTATTCCAGCCTCTATTTCAAGGTTACAGAAACTTTGGTCCCTAAATTTATCAAGAAATGGATTCTCAAACCTTTTACCAGCTATTTCTAGCAAGGGTATCCCTTCACTTTTGTCAATAGACCTGTCCTACAACAACCTCAGTTTAGGGACAGTCCCTAAATGGATCATAAACAGACAACTTTCAGACGTGAACCTGGCTGGTTGTAAACCGGGAGGAGCCTTCTCAAAGTTCAGACCAGATTCGTTGAGTTCCATAGACCTATCTGATAACATGCTTATGGGGAGCATTTCCACTTCACTAATATGACAAGCCTGCAGAAGCTGAAACTTTCGAATAACCAACTGAAGTTTGATCTTTCAGAACTCATGGTGCCCGATCGGATTTCGACCATCAATCTTCATTCGAATCAGGTGCTCGGGTCACTCTCCAGCATTTTTAACAACAGAACAAGCAGCTTCTTGGAGGTCATAGACGTGTCAAACAATCTCATTTCCGGCACAGTACCGGAATTCACCGAAGGCTTGAGTTTGAAAGTGCTGAACATAGGAGGCAACAAGATTGCAGGCCAAGTCCCCGGTTCAATCTTGAATATCGTTGAACCAGAAAGGCTGGACGTTTTGAGGAACCTGATAACAGGCACCATTCCGGCAAGTTTAGGCCAACCGGTGAAACTGCAAAGGCTCGACGTCTCCATCAACCAGCTTGCCGGGAAAATCCCAGCCAGCTTATTGGGTATCAAGTCCATGAGACATGCAAATTTCAGGGCAAACAGACTATGTGAGGAGATTCCACAAGGGAGACCTTATAACATCTTCCCTGCCTCTGGCTTATGCTTATAATCTGTCTCTGTGGGAATCCATTGCAGCCTTGCAATGGAAAGAAACAAGAGATGGTCCCATAAGCTCAATTTCATTGAAATACTACGATTATGGAACATACATTGTTTCAATATACAGCATTGATGCACATTTTTAGCATTTACTTACCAAAGAATTCTATTAATGATAATATTATTAGTTTGTATATTGTTAAAAAAAACAAAAGTGAATTACTCATGTTAATCGATTAATCAGCTTCTCACTCCTATTTTAATAATTAAAATTTAAATATTTACATTTCAATTACCAAACTTCCAATAACATTTTATTATTTTAAATAACATTTTATTGAACTTAAATAATTTAATTTCTTAATTTAAGATTTCTCTCCCCCCCCCCCAATAAGTTGGAGGGAGGTGTGACTGTTTGTATCCGAGTTATATTTGACCCTTATATACGTATTACATTCGCAAAGTAAGAAATTGGGAACCAAGGCAATGGAGTCTTAGATTTACATACGATGAAGAGAATAACCTGCTCAATTCCTGCTTTGATTCTACCTTTCACTGATAATTCTCTTCTATTTTCCTTTTCTAAACTGCCCATTACGTGTTTCCTTTCGAGTTTTCCACTGCTTCTGATGAAAATGTGAATATGGGTATGTCTGAACCCACCCATCTGGAGTTATTGGTCATAGGTAAGTGTAAATCAAGATCCCTTGATCTTGATGAAGCTCTGGGTTTTTTCATTTCCATGATTTCAGTGAGACCCTTGCTCTCAATTGTGTCTTTCAGTCATCTTCTTGGAACACTCTCCAAGATAAAACACCATGCACTCGTCGTTTCCATGTGTAAACAGATGATGGGCTGTAGAGAATTGCAAGTTGATATCCTTGCAGCGAACATTTGGATCCGTTGTTTGTGCAATTTGAAGAAAGTGGACTTAGGTTTCTCTGTGTGTGCTATTATTATAAAACTTGGTCTTCAGCCTGACCCTTATACCATGAGTGCTCTGCTTCTTGGACTGATTGATGAGGGTAAGATTAAAGAGGCAATGGAGTTGTTTTGGAAAATATTGAATAACTGTTATCCCTGTAATCAGTACACTTATGCTATTATTATCAGGGGACTTTGCAACTCTGGGAATAGTCGTTTTGCAGTTGTTTTGCTGATAGAGATGTATGTAAATGGAAGCTTTGAACCTGATGCGATATGCTATAGTACAATTATTGATGGATTTTGTAAAGAGAAACAAATGAATAAAGCTTTGATTATCTTCCAAGATATGTTAGATAAGAGAATTGAGCCAAATGTTGTTACTTTTAGTTCGTTAGTTAATGGGCTTTGCAACGTTGGCTGTTGGGATGAAGCAAAACGATTATTAGCTGCCATGTTTAACAAGGGGATTTCTGCTAATGCGTATATCTTTAATACTCTTATTGTTCCTCTTTGCAAGGATGGGAAGATCCAAGAAGCAATATCTCTATTCGATTTAATTACCCAAAGAGGCATAAAGCCAAATGTAGTCACTTATACTATGCTAATCCATGCGTTATGCAAGTTTGGCGACTGGAAACTGGCCATAAAATTCTTCGAAAATGACTGCTTCTGAAATTTTACTCAATGTTGTAACTTTTAGTTCCATGATAGATGTTTTATGCAAGGAGGGGAAGTTATCAAAGGTGATTCAAATTCTGGAACTAATGACTCGTACAGGGGTTCAACCAACAGTCATCACCTATAATTCTTTAATTTGTGGATTTTGTCATTCTAGTCGATGGGAAGAAGCAACAAGCTTGCTCGATAGAATGATGAATGAAGGAGTTCATCTTGATGTTGTGACTTTCAGTTCTTTAATACAAGCTTTATGCCAGGAAAAGAGGACCGAAGAAGCCATTACCATGTTGGAACTGATGAGTCCGAGAAATGTAAAACCGGATATTGTCAACTACAGTTGTTTAATACATAGATTGTGCAGTTCAGGTAAATGGATAGAAGCAAAAACTTGCTCGATAGAATGATGAAAAGGAATCCATCCTAATGTAGTGACTTTCAATTCTTTAATTGATGCTTTATGCAAGGAAAAGAGAACAGAATAAGTCATTTCCATGTTGGAGCTGATGAGTCAAAGAAATGTAAAACCTGACATTGTCACCTATAGTTGTTTAATACATGGATTGTGCAATTCAAATAAATGGACAGAAGCGACAAGCCTGCTTGGTAGGATGACGAATTGAAGGAATCCATCCTGATGTTGTGACTTTCAGTTCTTTAATCGATGTTTTATGCAAGGAAAAGAGAGCAGAAGAAGCCATTACCTTATTGGAAGTAATGAGTCAAAGAAATGTAAAACCTGACATTGTCACCTACAGTTGTTTAATACATGGATTGTGCAATTCAAATAAATGGACATAAGCAACAAGCTTGCTCGGTAGGATGATGAATGAAGGTGTCCATCCTGATGTTGTGACTTTCAGTTCTTTAATCGATGCTTTATGTGAGGAAAAGAGGATTGAAGAAGCCATTATCATGTTGGAAATGATGAGTCAGAGAAATGTAAAACCCAACATTGTCACCTTCAGTTGTTTAATACATGGATTGTGCAAATCAGGCCAATGTGAAGAAGCAATAAGCTTGCTCAGTAAGATGGTCACTGAACATATTGTTCCTGATATTGAAACTTTTAACATTTTGTTGGATGCTGTTAGCAAACATGGAACAAATGACAAAGCTCGTGAAGTACTGAAGGTAATGGATCAACATGGTGTGAAGACTAATGGATTTACTTACAGGACAATGATCAGAATGTATTGTGCGCTTGGTGAAATGCACAAGGCAAAGGATGTCTTTGATTCATTGGCAACCCAGGGTTTTGCACCTGATTTAGAGGCTTACAAGATGTTGATCAATGGGTATGCAAAGAGCAAAAGAAAAGAGGAGATTGTGAGGCTTGCTGAAGAAATGCTCCAAAAGGGATTGACACTTGATGTGGAAACTCATAGCATGCTAATAGGGTTAACAAGGCTATGAAAGTTGTATGTTGCAGATAGTGAGTATATTAATTAATATCTCATTCTTCTTGTTATTTGTTCTTTCAGTTTTTTCATTGACACTGCTGAAATGGAGATGATGCCAGGATATTATACAAACTTTGTTATTTTTTATTGAACCATCATTTGACATTATTTTGTGAACCAAAAGAGAAAATGAGGCTTTTTTTTAACGTTGTGGAACTTAACCTTGTGTGTGATTGCTATAACTTTTTTCTTTTTGCTGCAGGTTGTCATTTGAATCAGAACAAAAGTCGTGGTTGTTATCATTACTTGTGGAGATGGCAATGTCACTTACAAAGAAATTCTCTGATGAATCTACATAACTTTTGGAAACTTACTTTTCCATTTGTCTGGTATGCCATTGGAGGCTCTCTTGAACGTAATATTTCTGTCTAAATATGGCTCTATTGCACATCATCTGAATGTTGTTACGGTTGCATTCACTTCTGTGTATTGTTTATATGATGGTATTTTGATGAGTGTAAGCACCCTCCTTGTCGTTAAAATTTTTTAATATTTTAAGACCAAAGGCGACGTAGTTGCAATTCAGTGTGTTTAATCAGGAAAGGATAACAAACCTTTTAACATTGTCGAGTGAGCAGTGTGGATTTCTACATGTGTCCTTTTTTCCTTATGTCACTCGATTACATATTTTTTTCATTTTATCCCCTTTTAATACAGGGCAGCCGGCCGATTTATAAGAGAGAAAACTCGAAATCAGCTGCTGAAGAAAAAAACAAAAAGTCATCTAACTAGAAGAATGTTCAAGCTTGCTACTACGAGGGATCATAGAGTTTAAGCTAGTAACCCCACTTCGGGAACAGTTTTGGATCCAATACTGCAACAGTGCCTGCCTTTAATTTACTCCAACGACAGAACTGAGGCCAATGATGCGAATTCGATCCTGTTCAACCTGCTGTTTAGCTACCAGAGGTTAGTCTTCTATCCAGTATAAGCTCTCCTCAGTCTCTAACCCCAACTTGGCTGAGATGTGAAAAAATTTTCTAACCCCAACGAGCTGAAAAAGTTCATCTTTCCAAAGGTATCTGTATAATTATTATAACGCTTAAATTTTTTAACAGGATACACCATATGATCCTGTTGTTACCATTTGCGGTCATGTTTTCTGCTAGCAGTGTGTCGAAACATCTGACTGGTGATGATAATACCTGCGCTGCATCTGAATGTAAATAACTACTTGGTGATACAGTTTTCTCTGAATGGTAGTTCCAAGCAGACTAAGTCCTTTGAAAAGTATGATGATTTTACAGGAGTATAGTCTATTGGATGCAGTGAATTGGCCGGTCATGCAGTAGAGCTTTACAACCGCATAACAGTTTTCTCGCATTGGACTAGAATTTTGGACTTGGTTGAGCACTCTCTATACAAGGTTTAAAGACTTTCAATCCTTTAACCACTGAGTTCACTTGATTGTGCAACAGTGGAAGATCTCAGATGTCAATTTATGAGAAATTAGCATCACATTGTCAGAGTATAATAATGAGTGATTGTTAAATCGGTAGGCCGTTGTGGGCTGTTAGTTTGTTAGTATTTCTGTTAGAGCTGTTCAATTTGTTGGGTCCACTCTTGGATTATATATACGGATCAGTCTTGTATTTTGGGCCTATGGCCTTTCAATGAAAGTCTTTTTTTCAGAATACTTCTTTCTTCTCTAAATTTCTGTTTGGTTCGTTTTTCTCCGTTATGTTCTCTTCTTGCTTAGTTCTCATCATTAAACCTCTGATCCCCGGAGTTATCTTCTTCCAGCACTCATTTCATTGCTTTCTTCAGGCCATCAAGAATGTTTGGAATTCTGAAAATTTCGATCGGATTTTTCGAACAATTCTCACTTTTACTCCGGTATGTGTTAGTCACATTATGTCCCCGACTATTTCAGAATCAAGCCGGGGCTCGAAACAGTGAAAAACTTTCTCAATATTGTTTTACGATAATCGAACTAAAAAATTTTGTTTAAAAAACACCATACTTTTTTTCATATGGTTGAGACATTGGTATTACTTTTGCTTCGAACAACACTAATTTGAATTAAGCGTCCTGGTTTTTTTTTTTAATTTCTTGAATAAAATTGTGATATAATGAATCCAAATGGAATACATTAATTGAATCATGAAAATTGAATTATTCTAAATTTTAAATTGAAATAACTAAATTAAGTGTTCTAATTTAACAGACTAAATCCAGGATCTTCTAAAAGGATAATCATACTTTTTACCTTTGAGGTAGCTCAATAGATTCTTAATTAAATATATATATAGATCATTAGTTAAATAATTAAATTATTTTATTTTATAATTAAATATTTAATATCATATTTAAATTGAATTAATCAAATATACATGTAATTAATTTAGTTGATTTTCAAAATTAATAATTTAATCATATTAACGGTTAAAATCGAATAAATTTCAGAATTTCGTATTATCTTTTGAAAGTAAGAAGCTGGGAACTAAGACGATGAAGGCAGACTTAGGTTTACATACGATGAAGAGAATATCCTCCGCAATTCCTGCTTTGATTCTACCATTCACTGGTAATTCTCTTCCGTTTTCTTTTTTTAAGCTGCCCATTTCGTGTTTCCTTTCCTGTTTTTCATCTGCATCTGATGAAAATGTCCATATGGGTATGTCTAAACCCACCCCTCTCGAGACATTGGTCATAGATAAGTGCAAATCGAGATCCCTTGAGCTTAATGAAGCTCTGGGTTTTTTCAATTCCATGATTTCAATGAGACCCTTGCCCTCAATTGTGGCTTTTAACCATCTGCTTGGAACACTCACTAAGATGAAACACTATGAGCTCGTTGTTTCCATGTGTAAACAGTTGATGGGTTGTAGTGAATTGCGAGCTGATATCGTTGCAATGGACATTTGGCTCCGTTGTTTGTGTAATTTGAAGAAAGTGGACTTAGGTTTCTCTGTCTTTGCTATTATTATAAAACTTGGTCTTCAGCCTGACCCTTATACCACGAGTGCTCTGCTTCTTGGACTGATTGATGAGGGTAAGATTACAGAAGCAATGGGGTTGTTTTGGAAAATATTGAACAACGTTTATATGTGTAATCAATACACTTATGGTATTATTATCAGAGGACTTTGCAACACAGGGAATATTCTTTTTGCAGTTGTTTTGCTGATAAAGATGAATGTAAATGGAAGATTTGAACCTAATTTGATATGCTATAGTACAATTATTGATGGATTTTGTAAAGGGAAACAAATGGATAAAGCTTTGATTATCTTTCAAGATATGTTAGACCGGGGAATTGAGCCAGATGTTATTACTTTTAATTCGTTAATTAATGGGTTTTGCAGCATTGGCCAATCCGATGAATCAAAACAATTATTAGCTGCCATGATTAACAAGGGGATTTCTCCTGATGCGTATGTCTTTAATGTTCTTATTGCTCCTCTTTGCAAGGATGGGAAGATCCAAGAAGCAATATCTCTATTCGATTTAATGATCCAAAGAGGCATAAAGCCAAATGTAGTCACTTATACTATGCTAATCCATGCGTTATGCAAGTTTGGCGACTGGAAACTGGCCATAAAATTCTTCGAAAGCATGACTGCTTCTGAAATTTCACCCAACGTTGTAACTTTTGGTTCCATGATAGATGTTTTATGCAAGGAGGGGAAGTTATCAAAGGCGATTGAAATTCTGGAACTAATGATTCGTACAGGGGTTCAACCAACTGTCATCACCTATAGTTCTTTGATTCATGGATTTTGTCGTTCAGGGAAATGGGAAGAAGCTACAAGGTTGCTCGATAGAATGATGAATGAAGGAGTTCATCCTGATGTTGTGACTTTCAGTTCTTTAATACAAGCTTTATGCCAGGAAAAGAGGACCGAAGAAGCCAATACTATGTTGGAACTAATGTGTCAAAGAAACGTAAAACCAAACGTTGTCACCTACAATTCTTTGATTCATGGATTGTGCAGTTCAGGGAAATGGGAAGAAGCTACAAGGTTGCTCGATAGAATGATGAATGAAGGAATCCATCCTAATGTAGTGACTTTCAATTCTTTAATTGATGCTTTATGCAAGGAAAGGAGAACCGAAGAAGCCAATACCATGTTGGAATTAATGTGTGAAAGAAATGTAAAACCAGATGTTGTCACCTACAGCTGTTTAATACATGGATTGTGCAGTTCAAATAAATGGACAGAAGGGACAAGCTTGCTTAATAGAATGATGAATGAAGGAGTCCATCCTAATGTAGTAACCTTCAATTCTTTAATCGATGCTTTATGCAGGGAAAAAAGATTTGAAGCAGCAAATACCATGTTGGAACTAATGTGTCAAAGAAATGTAAAACCAAACGTTGTCACCTACAATTCTTTGATTCATGGATTTTGTCATTCAGGGAACTGGGAAGAAGCGACAAGCTTGCTACATACAATGATGAATGAAGGAGTCGTTCCTGATGTAGTAACTTTCAATTCTTTTATCAATGCTTTATGCAAGGAAAGGAGAACCGAAGAAGCCAATTCCATGTTGGAATTAATGTGTCAAAGAAATGTAAAACCAGATGTTGTCACCTACAGCTGTTTAATACATGGATTGTGCAGTTCAAATAAATGGACAGAAGCGACAAGCTTGCTCAATAGAATGATGAATGAAGGAGTTCATCTTGATGTAGTAACCTTCAATTCTTTAATTGATGCTTTATGCAATGAAAAGAGGACTAAAGAAGCCATTACAATGTTTGAACTAATGATTCAGAGGGATATAAAACCCAACATTGTCACCTTCAGTTGTTTAATACATGGATTGTGCAATTCAGGCCAATGTCAAAAAGCAAAAAGCTTGCTTAGTAAGATGGTCGCTGAACATATTGTTCCTGATATTAAAACTTTTAACATTTTGTTGGATGCTATTAGCACACAAGGAACAACCGAGAAAGCTTGCTTAGTTCTGAAGCTGATGAATCAAAAAGGTGTGAAGGCTAATGGATTTACATACAGGATATTGATCAGAATGTATTGTATGCTTGGTGAAATGAATAAGGCAAAGGATGTCTTTGATTCAATGGCAACCCATGGTTTTTCACCTGATTTAGTGGCTTATAAGATGCTGATCAATGGATATGCGAAGAGCAAAAGAAAAGAGGAGACTTTGAGGCTTGCTGAAGAAATGCTTGAAAAGGGATTGACACTTGATGCGGAAACTCATAACATGCTAACAGGATTGACAAGGCTATGAAAGTTGTATGTTGCAATTGGTAAGGATTAGTCAACATCTCTTTCGTTTTGTTATTTGCTTAGTTCTGGGTATTGCAAAAGCAGCATATGCATTACCCTTTGGAGATGAAAATTTTGCATCCTTGGCAGAATGGTGAAAAGATTTGTTGTCTAATATTTATCTTTTTGTTTACCCCTATGTAGGATAGAAAAAGGAAAAATTGTCGCTTCTGCTTTCGGTGAAGATCAAGGTGGGGGCTCAGCGTCTTGGTTAACAGTGGAAGAAGATCTCATCAGACATATATCTACAGGAAATTAGCCATATTATTGTGTTGCTTTCTTTTGACCTTATATGTTCCTACTTGAAGTTCCCATTAGGGAAGCATGTTTGGAACATCTGTTGCCAGCTAAATGCTGTCATAAGATGCTGACTTATGTGAGATTCTTTTGTCCAGTAGGTGCAGAAACAGGATAGCTGTGTTGCTTGTAAATGTTATTTCCAGTTTATTGTGTGTTTGTTTGTCTCTAAGCTTTCTTTGAAGAAAGTATTGGACCTGATTTCAGTGTATGTTTGCATCTTGCTGCATTGACTGCCTGTGCATATTTGTGTAGGCTTCATGTTGTTCTTCCATTGCAATCCTGTGACCCGAACTTGTGTCCGACACTTACACGTCCCGAATCTGAGTATGGTTGAGAGCTTTAAAGCTTTAAAGCAGGATAGAAGGAAAATTGGTAGGTTGTTAAGGGTGGATTTGATGAGGGTTGTTAAGATAATGTTGTTCTCCTTAGAGGATATGAGTTCGAATAGATGCATATATAAGGTGTGTTGTCAATATATTAAAAAAAATAATTAAACAGATACTAACTTGTAATCATTCCAAATTAATGAAAAAAATATCTCCCTGGTTTATAGAATTGTATCGCCATTCAATTAATAATATCTTACCTCTATAGAAGAAATAACAAAATTATTTATTATAACAAATTTGAAAATTAGTAACAATTAATTTTTTTGACTAATATTAACAATTAAATTAATACGAGTTACTTCAAGGATAAATCATTAATAACGACGATCAAATATTTATAAAATAACTTTTAAAAACATAAAATTTAAAGATTAAAATGAAAATTCTCAAATCAAAATTAACATTTCATCCTTTTTGTTATTTGTTCTTCGATGCTTGATGTGGAAACTCATAACATGCTAATAGGGTTGACGAGGCTATGAAAGTTGTATGTTGCAATTGGTAAGGAGGTTAATTAACATTTCATCCTTTTTGTTATTTGTTCTTTGAGTTTTTTCAAGGATTTTGCTCAAATGGAACTTAACCTTTCGGGCGATTGCTATATTTTTCTCCTTTATGCTGCAGCCTGCAGGTTGTAAGTTGAATCAGAACTCTCTCATAATAGTATGATGAGTCGAACAGGATGTATCTCCTTTGTCTTTATGTGATTACATTGCATGATAGATATTGCGTTGATAATTTGTATAAAATGTCATTGTCTTATGGTCCAAGATAGACATCATACTGCTTCTTCTCCCTTGTTAGCTAGAATCTTTTGTTCTATTTAGACTTGAGGTGGACATGGAATCTTGTAGTTAGTTGGGGAAAATGTACTGCTCAATGTTTTCCAATTTCAATGGTCGGCAGTTATTATTGCTAGATAAAAACTGACACGTAGCTTGTTAATACTTTTTTTAGCTTCATTTTTGTAATCCTTACAGGGAAAACTGGATTCTTGAACATCTTTCCTCAAAATATTTTTTCTATACAAAATCATAATGATTGTTAAGCTCAAACAAATGCATGTTTTTGATAATACACTTGAACTTTGTGATTTCAAGATTTAACTCCTGTATGTTTCTGAAAATTGTTTTTTGCTGTCATTTACAAGCATTCGAGCTTGGTTGGTGTTTGCAAACATATCATTCATAATACCTTGGTCATAATTCCTTTACTCATCTTTTAATATATATTTCCTACAGGCATATGCAGCTGTGGGCATGCTGCACCAAAATTATGCAAATATTCTTTCGATGCTTTTGTGCGTACGTCATGGTTTTGATCATTACTTCTTGCCGAAGGATTCGACTCTGATTCCATTTAGAACTCTGACTCTGTTGGACAATTTTCTTTAGAAATGGCAATGACACTTCCTAATGGAATGCTCTGATGAATCTACTGAACTTCTTGGAAACTTCTGCTTCCATCTGTCTCATATGCAATTGGAGGCTTTCTTGAATGTAATATTTATTTCTAAATCCAGCTCTATTGCACATCATCTGAATGTTGTTGCAGTAGCAATGACATCTCTGTATGGTGTATATGATGGTATATTGATGAATGTAAGCAAGCTCCTTGTCATTATAACTTTCAATATTTTAAGACCAAAGTTCATGCAGTTGCAATTCAAAGTGTTTAATCTGGAAAGGTTAACAGACCTTTTAACATTGTTGAATGAGCACTGTAGATTTCTAAAAGTGTTATTTTTTCTTTTTTCCACTCGGTTATAACTTTTCTTTTTCATTACTAGTCCTCTTTGGTATAGGCAGTAGATCTGAAACATTTTTCAATACCGATTCTCATGGTATCTCTAGTGAGCTGAAAAAGGTTTATCATTTTAAAGGATCTGTATAATATTTACCATGGGATACACCTGATGACCCTGTTGCTACCGTTTGCAGTCATGTTTTCTGCTACCAGTGTGTCGAAACATCCTACTGGTGATGATAACGCTTGCCCTGCACCTGAATGTAAAGAACTACTTAAAGCTACTCTTAGGAGCTGTCTTGCAGGTGATCTTAATGGTAGTTCCAAGCATCCTCAGTTCTCTGTAAAGTTAGTGATTCTACAGGACGAGTGCAACTCATCAAAATCAAGGCCAACATTGAGATTCTTCAGTCAAAAAGTTCATTGATGAATTCAAGTCCTGAACCAGAGTTCTACTGGATGCAGTGAAACTCCTTTTTCTTCTGATCAGACAATTTACAGAAACTACACATTCAGATGTTAGAGCTGCAAAGAGCACAACAGTTTATTCAGCAGGTTGTTTCTTTGTGGGAAAGTTGGTTATTATTCCATAGACATACATTATAAATGTGTGTGTAATTATGTTCATTTATTCTGTAAACACATCAAATAATCAAAACAGCATGCTTGATGGCTTTATTAAATCAATGATGTAAATATTTTTCGTCTCCCATTCATTGATTTTCTCACAGGTCACTGGTTTATGCTTGCCATGTTATCCTTCCGGACCTCTGGTGGAATCCAACCACTGAAGACCCGGCCATTGATCGAGCACATAGAATCAGTCAGACTCATCCTGTTACTGTGTCTGTAACTCAGATCACCATTAAAGACATAGTGAGAGATCGGATGTTCTCTCGTCAGGTATTTTCTCTTTATAATATTTGCTATGACTTAGAACTGTCTCCAGTGATAGATGTAATTTCTCTGGTTCTTGTTTATTTGACTAATCTACTGTGAAAGCATTACCATTTTCTGTGAAGGGCCTGAAATGTTTATAAGGATATCGTCACCTGAACCGGCTGCTTTTAGTCATGTAAGCCAACTGACTTAGCAGCTTTGATTTGGGATGTAAACCTTTCAAGTTTTCGATTCGGATGATGCCATTACCGAGGATTGCTGCATAATGATGTTCAAGTATAACCTTCTGGGTCTCTTCTGGAAATTTCAAGAACAGCAAATGTTTGAAGCCTTCTGAGATGAATTCGTTGGCCGACACTGGAACAAATGTAGAAGCATATTAAATCAGTTGCGAAGCTTCACAGAACCGGAACGTACCTCAAAGGGATCATCATCGCATTACCTACTCTTTCGCGTGGGATCTACAGCCTGAACTGCAAGAGTTTAGATCACAAAGTTGATGAGAAGCTACGCTTTAGGTTAGAAATGTACTGCTGTTACTTACAAGTACTCGAGATGAATATTCATAAACAGGCGGTTTTCTTTGCTTTGAGATAGTGTTAGAACGCCTTTGATAATTTGATCTTGCTCCGTGTCTATTGTGTCGTTAAAGTATATCAATGTCCGCAAAATTTACTTCCTAAACATCAAGGGTCCATTGCAGAATACAACCATTAGCTCCATGCAAGTCATTTAGATGTAAAAATGACCACTCGAGACTCCTTTATGTTCAAACCAATAGCATAGTTCTTAACAGAATCAAATCATTTTTATGTACAGCATATGAAGATGGCAATTATACAAAGCACCCGCAGAGATTCAAGGGGAGAGATCAACCAAGGATGGATTGAGGGGTCATTCCCTGAAAATTTCAAATTTTTATTTTCTTTGTATTTTCTGTTGATTATTTATTTTCTTTGTATTTTCTGTTGATTATTTATTTTCGTTCTCTAAAATTTTATAAATTCGACCATTCTAATATAAAATTATAAGTCCGTCCATGACTGGAACTTATATCTTATAGACACGGACTATAGCTCATCATGTTGGATAGTATAGCAGACAAAATTAATCAGTTCATTAACTTTTCTTTACCTATTCTACAATACCACAACTTGAGCATTCAGACCCAAAGTAGTCACGGTGATTAAAAAAATTGTTATAATTCTTTAAAATTATAGGCTCGAACACCATGTGTATAAGGATATATAATCATTTAATATCAAATGGTTGAAAATTTATGAACATATATTATCGTATTCACAAATTGTATCGATCATTCCCAGTTGATTGATCCCCTTTTGAATTTGTCGCCCATTGACGGCGTTTTCCTTTTCTAAGTAAAAAATCACAAGGTAGATTGATCCAGAAACTCCAATACATCAAACCAAACGAATAATTTAATTTTTATTATTTGAAATAATTAATTATAATAGAGTAGGTTACGTTTCATAATCTAATTGAAAATAAATATTTTTATAAAAAAATATAAAATTTTATTTAAATAATCATTATAAGTGAAGTAATAAAAAAAACTTATATAAATACTTTCACTGGATAGGATACTAGTTAATTTGAATGGGAGGTTTTTAATTTATTTTATTTAAAAATTGTATAAATATATGAAAAAATTAAAAGTACCCTCATAGAAATATCCATTAGCAAAAGGATATTTTAATATTTTTTGAGTCAATAGAGATAGATTCATTATATTAATCCAATCAAGGATTTATATATATAAACACATCTATGATTGTAATTCATAACATGTTATAAATTCTATTTTTAGAAATAGTTCATTCTCCAATGATTTTTTTTAATTGATATGTATGATATTAACAATATGATTTAATAAAATTAAGGGTAAAGTATATAAATAGTATCCAAATTTTTAGGGTGCTTGCATTTTGATCACTTAACTTTTAAAACTTGTAAAATATTTACTGAACTTTTAGATCGTTTTCAGTGAAGCCTCTAAGGTTACCTTCGATTAATTTTATAAAACGTGGCAGTTAACTCCGTTAACTTCTTCAAGATCTTAAACCCATAGCAATTAAAAAAAAAATCTTCTTCTTCTTCTTCTTGAGCTTAAACCCATAGCAATTAAAAAAAATCAATCCACGTTCAGGGATTGAACCTTCTCCTAATGCTTCCATCCATTTGTTTTTTTTTTTGGGTATGATGCTGCTTGATACTGCAGTTTTACAATTTCAGAATCAAAAGCTTGTACAAAAGCTAGAGGCTCAGAAGGTCGAGTATTCTACTATTGAGAACAAGTTCATTCAACTGAAGGAGAAATAAGATATATAGAAGCAACCTTGATGCAATCACTGACCATCTACAAAATTCACCACAAAACCCGACATCATTTATCTTTCATTACATGAAACAAATCAAATAACTTTTAAAAGTATTCAGCACTAACCGATTTCCAAGCTTTTGATGCAAATCAAGTATGGTATCCACTTCTTCCCTAGTGAAATTCCCATGCTTAAGCCCAGGCCTTAGATAATTCACCCACTAAAGTCTGCAACTCTTCCCTAACCTTTGCAATCCTACAACTCAAAAAAAGACTATAAAAAATACTTAATATAATTGTAAATTAATAGCCAGAAACTTCAGTTTCTCTATATGGGATTGGTTATTTCAAGTAATTTTTTTTTTTTTTTTGCTTGATTACCTGCTGGTTTGGTCATCTGTGACCAGTTCCAAATCCCATATCTAGTTATATAAGCTATTAACTTACGATCTTCTTCGGGATTCTATGGCACTTTCTTCAGATTTCTCTTTTCACCAAACTTTTCCATCTCTACAATGAGTGATTAATGCAGTTTTCAAACTTGATGCCAAAAACAAAACTTTTTGTAGAAAGATTTGATTCAGTTTATCTTTCATGATTCTATGAAAAACTTATTTCAGTGTCTCTATTGTCCAACAATATGACCATTACTTAGCAAAAGAGGATTCCTCGTGAAACATCCCTTGGAATAGTGTAAAACTGTAGTATCAAGCTTTTGTAGAATACTTTTTAATATATTTTGTTTCCCCTTCAGTTGGATGAACTTGTTCTCAAGAGTAGAAAACTCGACCTTTTGAGCCTCTAGCTTTTGTACAAGCTTTGGATTCTGAAATTGTGAAACTGCATCAAACCCGCAAAAAACAAATGGATGGAAGCGTTAGGAGAAGGTTCAATCCCCGAACGTGGATTGATTCCCTGTTTTATTTTTTAATTACGATGGGTTAAGCTCATGAAGAAGAAGAAGAACATGTATTGATTCTCTGCTTTATTTTTTAATTGCTATGGGTTTAAGCTCAAGGTGGAGGAGAAGGAGGGTTAAGGGAGTTAGCTGTAACGTCAGATAAAACTGACAGGAGATAACGTAGGGACCTTACCGGAAATGATTTAAAAGTTTATTACTATATTACAAATTTTAAAAGTTAAGTGACCAAAATGCAAGTTTTCTAAAAGTTTTGGGACTATTTTTATAATTTACCTTAAAATTAATGATTATGATCGAGTTTATAATATACTAATAAAAGATGTCGTTTTAGTTCTGATTGACATTACGTTTTAAGTTTAATATGCAATTCGGATAACATTTGCCAACACTTTTGGATAAAAATATTGAAGGATATGCTAATTTCAATTTTATCTTTAGCTTTTAATTACAAAAACTAACACATAATTTTATGATAGGAGTGCGAACTTTTATAAAATTATATTGAAAATATGAAAATGTGAAATTATAAATTTTAAAAATAATAAAATCAAATCATTAATAAAAATAAAAAGTATTTAAATTATATAGAATATATATATATATATATATATATATGATCATCCCAACAACTCTTGGTAGAACCCATTTTAGTTATGAATATAATCGTCAACCTTGAGCCTCTCAATTGCAGGGAAAAGGTCAGCTTCTTACTTGTTTTGACTTTCTCAGGCCATACATATATAATCTCCCTTTCTAAATTCCTCTTCAAAGTTCATCAATCCAATTCTCATCCCTTTCTTAAACAAACTTAACCTTTTCTTTTCTTTGGGTTGTTTTCAAAATGGATGAAATCGATGTTCCTCCATTTTCTATCTGCCCAATCTCCCTGGAGATTATGAAGGATCCCGTCACGGTTTCGACTGGGATTCCATACGACAGGGAAAGCATCGAGAAATGGCTGTTTTCCGGTAAGAAGAACACTGCGTGTCCGGTTACGAAACAAGCTATTTCAGATTGTGAACTTGTCCCCAATCATGCCCTGAGAAGATTGATACAATCTTGGTGCATTTTAAATGCTTGCCATGGCATTGAACGAATCCCGACCCCGAAGCCACACATCACAAAAGATCAGATTACGAAACTCCTCCGTGATGCCAAGTCACCGTTGCAGCAGATGAAGTGTCTCGTCCGGCTTCGATTGATCGCTTCCGAGAATGATACGAACAAGAGGTGCATCGAGTGTTCCGGTGCGGTCGAGTTCTTGGCTTCCATTGTGAGCAAATGTGACTCGATGG